TCATTGTTTTTAAAATATAAATTTTAATTATTTAATATATTTAGTAATTATTAAAAAGTTAAGAAAATATAATCAAATGATTAAAAAGTTTCTTGAAACAAAAAAAATGAAAGTTCAAGTGAATAAATAAACATCAATGGATTAGAATCGGCATTATGATTCTTTATCGTTCCTACTCTTGTTAATATATTTTAGTAAATGAAGCATATAGCAATTAATCATAATAACATTATTTTTCAAAGCAACTCAATCTATAAATATTCCTCCAATTGTCGAATTAAAATTATTAACAGAAATTAAAAATTAGCATAATCTAGATTATAAACTTCCAACAATTAAAAAAAACTTAAATTAATTTATTCAATGATAGTATTAAAGGTCAACTTATCTATACTATCATAGACGCAAACAATTCTTAAAAAGAAAAGTTCCCATCCAGCTTATGAATCTTGAATACTCCATAGTAAATGATTAAACTACTTGTTGTTTTTGATTTAATTTTTAATATTACATATATGGTAATTAAAAAGTATAAAAATGCCATCAAATAAATGGATATTATAAAGTATTTATGATATATATAATTGGTATAATTTAGAAAAACAATTTATTTTAGGAGCCACTTATAATTGATAATAGAATACATTATAGTACTCTAGAATATAACAATAATAATGGATAAATCATCAATTATGTAAGATAATTTTTTTTGAACTATTCGTTTTCTCCCAATCTCAGGAAGCTAATTTAATATTTAAACTTAAAATAATATTTTTAGAAAAATTAGCTCTTCTAGCGTAATTATTAGCTACTATCTTAATAAATTAAGCTTTAAGTTAATACTACAAAGTAGTTAAAATCGCATTACAATTCTTATGATTGTTTCAGTTAGTCTTTTTATTAAAGGAGAAAAAAATGAAATTATCATCATGCAACTATTATTAGCCTTCAATATCAATTTAACTATATAGTGATAAATGATCTAAATCTATTTGGTTAGAGAGAATTAATGTTTGGGCAATCATTTTATTAAATTTAAAAATATGTCTTGATTTTTAATCATATAATGTATATTTTTACAAATAATTTTTAATATATAAACAAATTAATTATAATAAAATAGCATAAAATTAAGGATTTTTTGTTGCTTTTTTTGAGTTTTCAATTTTAAAATAAATAACTTTAAATATTTACACATTTTTTTACTTAAGTATGATTAACATAAAATTCATACTATTAGTTATGAAGAATTAAGAAAAAAATCATTTTCTGTTTGTTTTATGTTGGGCTAATTTGTCAATAAAATGCAAATTTGTTATATAGTAATCAAGATCTATCATATAGAAATGACTATTTTCTAATTCTTTTTATGATCGGTTTTTAATTAATAAAATTCAGGTTATCAAATTAATTTTAGAATTAATGTTTAAAGAGCTATTAATCTAAAGTTCTAGTGAGATATTAAAAAATTATTGGAATCAAATTATTTCCAATATCTTTTTAACAAAAGAATCTATAAATATTTTAATTAAATTAAAATGTCGAAGTTTTCATAATTTTTAGAGGACATCAGTGAATTCAAGGAAAGGCCAGTTAAATTAAAACAAATAAAAAAGGTTCTAAAGATTAATGAAAAGAGCTTTCCTCCTTGCAAAAATATCTTAAACTATTATTTCTAAGAATTTTCAAAGTAGATTATAATAGTAAAAAGTAGACGTACAAATGAAGAACATCGAACAAAATGGCACAGAAAGGATAAAATTTTATTTGTATGGACTGTGCTAAAATATTTTGAATTCATTAATAAGAATGATTTAAACCCTGTATTTCAATTTAATAGGATAGTCTGAAGAAGATTGGCATTATTTATCAGATGTTTTAGGAGTAACAGAATAACTATTGAATTTAAAATGGATTAGCATGTTGAAAACTAATCTTAAAATGGCCCCTTGGAATACTGAGGAAGATGAAATATTATAAAACATAATTACAGATTCAAATGAAAACAAAAATTGGACTTAAATTACTATAGATTTCAATAGAATAAATCCAGCAAAAATAGTTAGACATGCTAAATAAATAAGGGAAAGATGGAATAATTATTTGAATCCTGAGTTGAAAAAGTACAACTAATTAATTAATTAGATCTGAATGGTCATAACCTGAATAATTATAACTATTATTGCTAGTTTAGGAAATCGGAAAGAGATGGTCACTAATTTCGAAAAAAATATTGGGAAGAACAGAAAATTAGGTTAAAAATTAATACAATTCGATGATGAATACTTATAGAAGATAAAATGTATTTAATATTTAAACTTTATAGTAGCTAGATAATGAAGATATTGCAATAAACAAATTATTGGCAAATTTATAAGGAAAAGATTATGAGGGTCCATTACCATTAACTACTAAACGTGTTAGAAAAACAGTAAATAATAATAATATTAATTTGATTAATAATAACACTAATAATGTTACAATTAATTAAAGTACTAATAATGATTTAAAGAATATGTAAATTGAAAGTAATGAAATAAAAGAAGAGCATTAATAGGATTAATAACAAATGTAATTGTAATTGTAATTGTAATAATCATAAATATAATAATAATAATCATCATAACAACTATTCAATTAATAATAATAATTATAATAATAACAGTAATAGTAATCACTTATGCTTGGATTACCTGTATATTCTCCTATGTTGCCTTTCTCTCCAGTACATTATTTAATCTGTATTTAATATTCTTATTTATAAAGAATCAAGTCCAAATAATATATCATCACCATATGAAATTAGAAACAAGAATTATTCTAGTTAATTATAGTTATTTGATGATTATATGAAATCTACAAACAATCTTGAATAAAGCGTCCCTTAATCAGAAGTTCCTTGTTTATTAAGATTGTTTAATTCACCTGCATTCAATCATTAAGGATTTCCTTATGCGACGATGCCTTACTAATAACCTACCTAACAGCAACCTACATATAATACAAAAAAAATTAATAAAATTCAAAAAGAATTATTAAAGTTTGATACAGGATTAAACAGAGATTGAGCCTTTTCATTTTATTTAATAAAATAGAATTTCTTTGTTACCATCAAAAATCTCATATTTTATAATTAAATTTATTACAAATTCTAGATAATTCTTTGTAAACCAATCCAATAATAATTAAATAAATTATTTTTGTTTATTCTTTTCTACTAAACTCTTAATTATTTAATCAAATTTAAAATGGTGCTTTTATATATTAGGACATATAATATAATGTGAATCAATAATATATTAAAAAAAGAGTTATTTTTTATTTTATGTAATAACACAGAATCCAATTCTAAATAGCTAATATAATTAAATTATAATCAAGCTTATTGGGTAGTCTTTAACGTTTAATGAATAGAAAAAAATAATAAAAGGATATATCGAGATGATTATTTTATTTATAAATTTGAACAAGATAATGAAATCTATGAATATCATAATGAAAATATATTAAAAGTAAAAGTAAATGATTTCAAAAAGTATTTAATATAATTTGAAAACAAATAGATTATAATATTTTAAATAAATAATCATATAAAAATATAAAAATAAAGAGATAATTTAAGCAATATTAATGCTATCTAATAGAATTTAATAAATTTACATAAATTGGACGTTTTTATAAATTTAGAGAAATTTAAGTTTAAATGAATAAATCAAAAAAACAAAAATAAAAATAATGCTCACCCAGAACTATCAGCATCGCTGCTAAATGAACTGTCTCCAGTGTCAGGCTATTTCTATTAAGCAACTGGTTATGGAGCATAGTTATAAGTAGTATTAGCTGTATGAACCTTAAAAGATATTATAAAATATTTACAATTCTATCAGTCTTATCTTATGCTTTAGTTTCTTCAGCAACTTTCTTATTTTATTATTTTTTTAAATATTCTAATTTAGTATTTACATATTTTTCTAATTGTCTAGTTTTCTTAACAGGTAATGTGTCTATATCAAATTCTAATTCATCACTTTATTCTTATATCTTTAAACCATCAGACACAATCTCCCAAACTCCTCTTAAATGTTCAGGTGGTAAACTGTTAATATTAGAAACTAAAGCTCTTTTTTCTTACATATTCATAGGTTATTCCATAAGACTTGGTTATTTTCTAAGGATTTATAAATATATATATACACTGGCTTTTTATTATTGGTTGGCACTTATTATACTGCAGGAGGTTTCTTTTATTATTTATCTACTTTAATTGGTTATTCAACTATTTATTTTTATGGATATGGCTTATCTAATTCTTTATACAATTCATTAAAATGCTATTCAAGTTCTTAAGTCATTGCATATAATTAAGAACCCTTGTTGTTCATTGTATAGGACATTTACCAAATTTTCTTGATGTCCACCCAAAATTGAGTAGCTGTCTGATAAACATCTTATCATTGTAAAAAGATATTGTTACTATTTTTGAGATTCTGTTCGACTATTTATAAGTCAACATATTCTAATTCTTAAGGATAATTAACATTATCCAATTTTCTTAAAAAAGGTGCTGCCAATTAATGTTTTTTCAATTTTTAGAGTAAGGTCATACATCTTTTCATTTCATCTGTATTTTCTGTTCGATATGGTGCTACATAAGCCTTTTTAATGACTTTATTCTCTTCCTCTGACGATAGATCCTATTGGACTTTCTATTAATTTTATAATTTTTTATAAAACTTTAACATCTCTTTTTGATTATCTGCTTAAATTAACACTAAACCCTGGTGGCAATTTTTTAGCAATAACTCTAGCTTAATCAGAGGTGAGTAGGATTTAAAAAACATCATCTATTTGCTAGAAATCAAGAATTAAAATTAAATCGTACACAAAAGGTAGTCATAGCTGTTGTAATGGTTTCTGTAGGAGGTGTGGTTCTTTTGAAAACAAAATTATTTTAATTATTATTTTTTTTGTTTCTTTCAATTTAAAACCCTAAAAAAAATATGACCGGGGTATTAAAAAATCATTAAACAAAAAAAATTTAAATTTTTTTAGAGCAAACTAATATTTCTAAGAGAAAAGAAAACATACATACTTTTAAACACAAATTTTAATTATTTATAGATAAGATTACCTTTTTAGCTATTTGAAATAACCCTAATTGATTTGATCAATTAATATTACAATTTTATTATTTTTAGATGAATAAGAGATTCTTCTAAAATTGTATTTTATCCTTAAAATACTTGAATATCAATTCAGTATTCTTCTATTACAATTCTTATTCCTTAAGAAGTGATAAGGAAGTATGTTGTGTAAATTTTTTATTAATATAATAATAATTAAAAAAATGAGATACTTTAGATCATACTAAGTTAGAATTCATATAAATAAATTAACAAAAACAAAATTGAATTAATTGTTTCATAGCATTTTCCAACTATTCTTAACTGGTATTGTAGTATTTGTATTTGAATATGAAAAAGAACTTGAACTTTCTTAATCTTTATTTAAACCTACTATTAAATAAATTGTTACCAGGAGATGAATTCCTGATCTTTTATCTTAAGTTTTAGGGATTACAAACATGACTGCTTTTGCATTTTTAATCATCTTAATAAATTGTTAGTATAAAATATATACTTTTAATTGCTGGTGAGAATGTTCTAGTATTCACTGTTGATGGTTTTTACACTAAAGTTATGCCTACAGACTAAATACTATCCTTTCCTTTGCTAATTAACTTAGATTTCATAAAAATACATCTATTTTATGCTTTAAGTTTTTTCTGTCAATTCTTATAATACCCTAATTGGTTGATTTTTTAAAAATTGTGCTTAACTTTTTGTCAAACTTTAAGGGGATATTATTTTTTTTAAATGATTAACATCAGAAACTAATTCTTAAACTACTTTTTATTGTATTTTTGTCTCAGCTTCTATATTTGAATTACTATTATTGTTAAAACTACTATTATTCTATACTTAATTTGCACTTTGATTCAAATATTTATCTTAAAAAGAATTATTTGGTTTTTATTGGTTTCTTAAAGTTGATGCAGCTTATCTTCTACACTATACATTCCTAAGATAGATTTGAGAGTTAGATTAAGGTAAAGGAGGACCATACTAATTCATTTTTTTAATTGGATCTTTATGAAATGGTGATAAACTGTCTTTTTTTTATGCAGTATTGTTTTTTAATTGATCCTTGATATCAGCACTATTAGGTCTATTTTTACTATCTAATTCTTCACCTTTTTTGATAAGAGAAGAACTTCGATCTTAAATTTTAGATATATTAGTTATATTTATATTGTTTAGTTCTGTTGAATTTTTATTAATATTTTACTACTATATTTGAGAGGATGATTAAGATGGTTTAATTTAATTTTTCATTTGTAATTGTTAGAATTTTTAATAACTAGATTATAATTATGATATAGATTATGTTAAAGTTTTTTAAATTTCTGAATGTTTTGTTGAGCTCATAGTTGAAATAAATGTTGGACTTATTAATTAATCTAATTTAGTCTTTTATTAAGATACTAAATAGGATTAATTTGATTAAGAAAATTATTATTATTTCGAATCTATTTATTAGTTTGAAATAGTACTTTATGATACTTATTATTATTAAGGCTATTAATATTATGATTATTAGAATTAATTAGTATTTGTTTAATTTTTATCTATATTTATAATAATTTCGGATTGTTTATTAAAATAATTTAATGACTATTAAACTTAATCTTTAAATTCTTAAAAGTTATTTAAGATTGATGGTGATACATCTTTTTATTTAACAGAATTTGGACGATTATTTGTAATATCTATATTATTTTTTTTTTCATCATTTTATTATAAAGATGTACTTCTTACTCCACTTGGCTAATTAATAAATTAAGGACTTTATATTTAATCAGATGATATTGGTTAAGTCTTTTTTTCCAATGAATTTTGCTTTTATTTTTATGCGCAATGTATAAGTAAATTTTAAAATGATTAATTATTACTCATTTATGAATTTTATTTAAATGATTCACAATCATCTTATTAAAGTTATTTAGTAGTATTCTTATTGAAATTAGTACATTTAGGAAAACTATGTTAAATTTATGGTTATTTTGCAGGTTAATTTAAAGTAGTTTTTTATACTCCCTAATGATTATGACAAAATTACTTTTAAAATAGATTAACAATCAGTGTCTTCTTTTACTCTAATATGAGAGGTAGAGATAAAATCAGGAGATCCAGTATAGACTAAGGTAGCTAATAGTATATTTTCTTTGTTTAATTAATCTTTCCATTTAATTTTTTGATTATAAATTTTTCCTAAGACTTACTAAATAATATATATTAGATTTATACTAATTTAGATTATAAATTTGTATAGATGTCATCAACAGGTCCATTTTATGAATTAAGAAACGTATTTCTTATAATTAATTCTTCTTAAAGTTATTGTGGATTTAATTCATCTTAGGTTAATTCATTCCATGATGCTGTTCTTTTAGGTCCTAACTTATTCAATCTGGATTCTAAAGAATTTAGTTAATAAAAAAAGGATGCTCTTATTTCAAGATCAGGTCTTCGAGAATTTAAGTATTCAAGTGTTTTGTAGAGTGTCCATGAATACCTTATTATTAATATAAATTAAAGAACTTTTTCATAAAATAAGCAGCCAATACACAACAAGATCTACTTTAACCTCTTACTGAATGAACTAAAGTGCTTTCTCCTTATTGAAAACACTCTTCGATGAATGCATAAATTTTATTTACATTCTCATTTTTCTCATCAAATAACACCTTTTTATTAAATGGAATATTTTACTTCATTATCTTATTCAAGCCAATTGAATGTGAGATATTTTATATTCATGTTAATCCATTTGTTTTAAACTTCTGTACCAGAACAATTGATTATATGAGTTACTTTATTATTAATTATGAATTCTCGATCCTTTATTAGATAAATATGTAACTTATGATGCATATTCATCTCCAATGAATAAACCATCCTTAATTTTTATAGCTCCAACTATATTATTCTAAGTCATATAAAAGTATTCAAAAATTTATTTAATAATTTTTATTTAACATCTCATAATAACCCAATAGCAAAACATTCAAAAGCTCTTTTGAAGTCTTTGGGAGTTACAATATTTTTAACATCTATATAAATCAAAAAAATGCTACAAAAATATGTCTTCAAAGTTAAAATACTATTTCTTTAATAAGCTATCAACTTCTATAAATTGATGCTGATAAAATAAAGTAAATTAAACATGCATTTTTCATTTTATTTATCCATAATGCGATTCAATGGAATTTAAAATTATGATAGTATTTACAAAGTTAAATAATCAGAGCATTTCATAAATTAATTTAATATTAATGAATACAACCCTCTAATTACACTTGCCTATTTTATAGAAATTCATATAGAATTTCACAGAAGACAATAATTCAGTAGATTTATCAAAGCTATAAAATACACTCGAATTGAGAATCCAATAAAGTTTGATAACTGTTAATGAAGTACTCCACTTTTATGAATATTGTCAATCATAGTAATTAAGTTTTTTACAAAAAATTAGGGAGTTTTTAAAAATGCATAGCTCTAGAAATTGGACGGATGAAGAATGGAAAATACTATTATGGGTAACCATATAATATAGTTCATTAAATTAAAAAAACAGTGACGAATTTGTAAATCTATGTTACTTTACATTAGTAAGGATAGGATTGGAATAATATATCTGATATTATCGCATTCAAAGACTCATTAAATTGTTAATTTAAATGGCTTTCTCATTTAAGAGTTGTTCCATCAAATAAAAATTGGTTACCAGAAGAAGATAAGTTGCTTTATAAAATAATGACAAAAGAACCTAACATAAAGTGGTTTGAGGTGTAATATGAAATGTTTATTTAATCATAAGGAATTTATTTTAGAAAGGCAAAATAGTATAGAGAAAGATGGAATAATTATTTAAATCCATAAGTAAATAGGTAAATTTTTAGGTTAATAATTTAAGAGGTATTTGGACAGAACTTGATGATTATAATTTATTATAAATAACATTAGTAGAAGGTTTAAGATGGTCAAATATATCAAAAAAATTAAAAAATAGAACTGAGAACTAAGTTAAAAATAGATTCAAGAGTATAATTAATAAAGAGAAAAAAATTGTGTAAATTCCTTAAGAGTTGCAATAAGATCATTTAGATGATATGATGAAGCATGGTTTGGATAAAATGACTGAGTTTTTAATTCATTCAATTTTAAGTAGATTGAAACCAGTGGAACATAATTAAAATTCTAGTAGCTATCAGTAAGAACACTTAAGCTATAATAATAATGAATAATCATTTTCTTAGATACCATAATATCCTTATATAATGACACCTCAATAATATTACTATTAATAATATCCACAGATTCAATAGATTCCATAAATTTAATAAATATAGACAATTTCAGCAATGCAACCTTAAGTTTAACAAATAAATCCTATCTTACCTTGTTAATAATAATAATTATAAAGTATGAATATTTAGATTCCATAACATTAATAATTAATTTCGTAATAGCTAATATAATAATAATTAATTTAGTAATAATAATAATAATAGATGATCCCTAACTTTTATTAAGCTTAATATATTCCATAATAATTTATTTAATAATAATAACAATAATAATAATAATAATCACAATTTAAATTTAATTTATATTCATCATAATAAAATACACCAACTAATTCTATAGGAACTTTAAGTTCTTAGCGTTCTGAAAAACTAATATCAGATCAGATTAAGGAAGAAGATAATAGTGGTTCATCATCAAATAAAGAACCAAAAGTTTAGAAAATGGTTTGTAAGTCTGCTCAATCATCCATCAATGGTTCAACTAGTTCGGTGAATTCCATGGATGCAATCAAATAAAATTTCAATAATATGCATTTAGATTCTGAATAAAATAGTCCAGATCCTATTCAAAAAAGAAAACATTAAAGATCATAATCAGGTGCCTTCGATATAAACAATTAAGGAAAAGTTAAAACTAAGAGATCGAGATTCTTTTATGCTTCTAATGATGGTTGAATTAATTTAATTAATGAATAAAATTTTAACAAAATCATTCACTTATCTTCCTTGCTATTGGATCTCTAAGCCTTATAGTACTTCATATGAAATACAAATCTGTAGTTCAAAGTTAGATTTAAGTCGTGATGATTTATAATCAGATGAGTTAACTACTTTGATATGTACATAATTAGATGCCACTAAATTAATTGACATATACAATAGATATAAACATAATTTTACTGAACGTCATCTATTACAGAGTTTAAAAATAATTGCCAAAATGCAAGGAATATGTAATTTACCAATTCATGATGAATATTTTAATGAATCCTACCAAGCTTTAATAAGATAATTCAATCAATATATTTCCACTCTAAATAATTTAGATCTTGGAGATTTCATGTATTGGTATAAGAAACTATACTATGATAATCTTAGTATAGGATCCTTAAATGCAGTAGATATTAAATAATTGTAATTAATAATTAAAAAATACATTTAAGAAAATTAGTTCCTACCAAGATAATTAAATATGATTTATGAATGCATTGATTTAATCTTCTCAAAAGAGGACTACTTAAATAAATAATTTATAGATTATGCCTTTTTAACCAATGATATTACTGTTGTTTAACTTATGCAATTTCTTACTTCTATTAATAAAAAATTCATCATAAAAAAAAAAGTTGATCTCTACTCCATATTACAATTATTAAACTATTAAAAAAATGTGTGCAAAAGCTTTGATGTTGATTAATATGCTTTTATGACTAAATCCTTTATAAATATGAGATTAAAGTATCATATTACAGAAAAATAATATCTTGAATAAATTGATGAAAAACTTGAAGCAACTAAATAAAATATTAAGTACTTAGAATCATAATCTATAATTTCTATCCTATAAAATTCTAAATATTAAATACTTGATGAATCAAAACCTCTATTGATACTCATTCATGAATAAGTTTAACAAATACTACTAAAATATGAAAAGAAACAAGGTCACTTAAATTTTGAATTTTTAATTTAATATTTATAGAATGTAATTTATGCAGATTACATTGATAATTAAGATATTAACAAAATAGAATCAGCTTGCTTAAAATTACTATAGGAAAGTTTTAATATTTCAAATATCTATTTGATGACGTAATATTATTTAGATAAAAAGAGCAAATGTTAACCTTATGCAGAATATTTAAAAATTATTCTAAAAAATCTTACAATGTAGAATATTAATTCAAACATTAAAAATCTTTTATATCTTCATTTTATTTGTGAAATTGATGTTTCCTAATTTTTAGATAAACTCAGTAATTAAAATTTTTCTGGATAAGAAGAAGATTATGAAGAAATTTAAATATCTAAGACATCCATAGTTAATTTAATTATTTTATTTGATTACTATCCTTAAATACCAATACCTGATTTTATTACTAATTAATTTATTAAAATGAGTTCTATTCCATTATTACTATCCTTATGTAATTGTCAATTCTTCAGTCCTAGAATTAGATCCCTTTATACTTAAAAATTATAAAACCTAAAAAGTGAAGTAAGGCTTGATAAACGATTTAGATAGAATATATTAGAATCTATTAAAAATAATGATGATGCTTAATATATATTTAAATGGTTTAATCAAACTAGTAAAATTTAGTTAAATTAAGCTTTGCTTTAAGTTCTACTTTCAAATGAAAACAATAATGTAACTTATTTAATATGATTAAAGTTTAGATCACTAAACCTTAAGTTTACTTTTTATATTAAGTAATTAAAAGTTATATTGATGATTTGGATATAGAAATAATAATCAATTAATTAATTTATTAAACTAAAATATTTGATTATCTATTAGAATTAGATCCAGAAATTATAAATTTAATACTTGAATATTCATATAGATTTAATTAAGGACAGGGAACAGCTATAATGATATAATTAATTGAATAAAAATTTCCAGGCAATTTGAAATAATTTAAAATTCCTTAATACTTAATGTTAAACTATTAATATCTTGAGTAATATGATACAAACTTTATTTTATTGATGATTAAATATCATTGTTATCCACTATAAGATAGTTTAAAGATTTTCAATAATTTAATTAATTTCACTTAAAATGAATTAAGACTTTTTATACTCTACTTGGAAATGAGCTAAAAAATAGGATTAGAAAAGATGCATTCTTATATTTTAAAATAAATAAAAAAACTTAATGAAACCTATATTATATAAATATAATGATAAACTTAAAATGAAATAGAAGTAAATTAATTAATATTTATTTAATCTTTTTTATGTTTTTTTTGGATCTTATTTATAATCATCTTATTTTTTTATCATCTTAAAGTTATTTAAAGATTCCAAAAACTACCAATCCTCCTCCAAGAAATCCTTGAATTGGCAAAATCTTTCCAAATAAAAAATAATCAAAAAATATCTAATAAATCATTAAAGAAAATGGATAATTACATATCTTATCAAAAGATACTAAAGCTTAAGCTCTGAACTAGAGTAAATGTCCAGATAAACTAAATAATGCATAAGCCAATATGTATAAAAAATAGTTATCAAAATACTCAAATGTAGTTACATATTAGTGTTAAACACCCATAACCAAAATAACAGCAAGATGAAAATAGGATGTAATAATTGTTGGTCTTATTTCCTTTCCAATTTACTTTAATTTAATAAATCCATATGCTTATAAAACACTACAAAGCAATACACTTAAACATGCAATAATTCTTTGCATATCATTTTTTTGAGATAATTTCGGATTCATTATTAATACAATCCCAATTATGCATATAAATGTATTAATCATTCTACTTTTTGTAATTGGCTCTTTATTAACTATTAAACTTATAATCTAACTCCAAATTGCATTAGTGGAATTTATTACTGCTGCTTCTGAAGTTGTTATGAAATAGATTCCATAAAATAATAAAGAGGCTCCTAGTGCTACAAAAAATTATGAATAAAACATTAGTTTAACTTTATCTTTAGGATAAAAATCATACTTATATTATCCAAAGAAAAGTATAATCAATGTGAATAAAGATCTAAAATATAATGCTTGAGTTAAGATCGTAAAATGAGCGTATTTATAAGTTGTAAATTATAGACTATGAAAGAAATATGCTACAAGTATATATCCTATTGAGACCTTTTCAATATTTTGTTACTCTATTTTTTATAATCTTTCAATAATGTTGGTAAGTACCATCTT